GGTGTTTAGGGCTGTTGTACATAGGGTCGCTATGAGTCGCAAGTGACGCGATGGCACATAACAACAACAACAACAACAACAACAATCTTCACCTCAAGGGAGCTCTAGTGGCCTAGTGGTAAGGAACTCTATTGCAATTCCAAAGGCATGTGGTTCAAATCCACCAGCTGCTCTGTGGGAGAAAGATGGGCAATATCCTCTTGTGTCATTAACTGTTTATGAAAACCCACTGGAGGGTTGGTTATAGCTTGGTTCTGACTCAATGGTACTCAACAACAACAACAACAGCAACAGCAACTCCTCACCTTTAGAGCCTGAACGTTTTCTCCCATAGTGCTGTTGGTCATTGTGGCCTCTGGCTCTGGCTTCTCCACGGATCAGATCGGAGTTTGGAGTTCACAGCACACTCTGTCAGGGTTCACTCTACCATTGTCCTCTCATCCACCCCAACCCTACCTGCCCCTCTTACCACCTTGCTGGAACTTTCCCAGTAGAACGCTGGCCTTTTCTGAAACGGAGAGTTTGGTAAGTGGTCCCACAACTTCGCCATGAATAGTTTGGATAATTCTAGAGTCACTACCTTGAAAAATATCATCTCCAACATAGTTTCACTTTTAAATGTAAGTCAAAGGCAAGTAAAAATTTATAGCAGAACAGATCTTTCATTGAAACAAAGAACCAAAGGTCAAGTACATTTATACAGAAAGTGGCCAAGAACCTGGGTCCTGACCATAGCCTCCAATGTGCAATGACCCACTGAGGCAAGGCTTCTTACAGCTCACAACCAGCCCATCTGGGTCACACATGGGACTTTCAGCTACTCTGAGATTTAGGCTGTTTTAAGTTTCCATCTCCCCAGCCATGGAGGTGGGAGAAGAGGACCTTTCTACTCAGGCTCACTACATTGGCCAAGAAGCAAGCAGAACTGAGCACTCCCTCACATCTCCGTTTTGCATCACATTCTGTTCTGGCACCTGGGATGGCCTCCATCCAAACCACCTCTTTTCTGTCTAACCTGGAGACATCTTACCTAATAAATACTCTCAGCTGCCACCTGCAGGAAGCCTTCCCTGACCTCCTCTCCTTTCTCTCCAACAACACCTCACTGTGTTTCCTTAACCTATGGACCTTCCAGTCCTGCACTTATTCTTCACAGTGTAGCATCTTGAGATAGAGATAGAGATTAGAGATAGAAATAGAAATAGAGATAGAGATTAGAGATAGATACATACATATAGATATATAAATATGATAGATAGATAGATAGATAGATAGATAGATAGATAGATAGATAGATAGATAGATAGATAGACAGACAGACAGACAAGCTCTGGTAGCCTAGTGACAAGAAGCTACACTGCAATCCCAGAGGTGCTCGGTTCGAATCCACTAGATGCTCTGCTGGAGAAGGAGGGACAAGCTCCTCCTGTACCAGTCAGATCTAATTTGACAGTGTACACACACACACGCACAAAATGAATGAATGAATGATACATACATACATACATACATACGTGTTGTTGTTGTTATTATGTGCCGTCGAGTCGCTTGCGACTCATAGCAACCCTGTGTACAACAGCCCTAAACTCTGCTCTGTCCTGTGCCAATCGCACTGTCTCTGACACTCCCATCCCAATTATCCCAGTCACTGA